TCTGTGTGCAGCCGTGCCCACCCCGGACCCCCCGCCACATTCAGCCATTCACAGAGTCCTGGAATCACTGAATGTGCTGATTTGGAAGGGATGCACCAGGATGCAGCTCCTGGCCCTGCACAGGACACTCCCAGCAGTCCTGCCCTGTGCCTGAGCGCATTGTCTAAATGCTTCTTGAGCTCAGACAGGCTTGGTGTGGGACCCCTTCCCTGGGGAGCCTTTTCCTGTCATACAGCAGTGCCCCCCCTGTCACAGCTTCATGCCATTCCCTCCGGTCCTGTCACACACTCCAGAAAGGCCTCATGGACTTCTGGCAGTGCAGAACCCAGTGCTGGATTCTCCCAGAAGAGCATGAAGGCTGGGTGGGGGTGCTGGGTGTCGAGGTATTTTGCCTTTTAACACTTCTGATGTTTTTTCCCCACCAGGCTGCCACGGCCCCACGCATCCCGTCCACGCGGCTGGCGCTGCACCACTTTGACACGAGCTACAGCTTGCACCTGGGGGCCCTGTGGCCTTCAGTCCGTGCTGGCCTGCTCTGTGAGCAGAAATATGGGGCCCTCCTCAACAACTTTGCTGCTGCTGACCATGTTCCTGAAGAGCTGGAGCTGCTCAATGCCACTGATTTCATTTCTGAGGCCCTCCAGAAGGTGCAGCAATGGCAGCGGGGTGTGGCTGTGGGGGAAGCGGCCACAGGGTGCCAGGAGGGCTCTGGTGAGGGCAGGACTGGGATGCAGGCAGAAATTGTGGCACAGGCAGAGATGTCCCCACCACTCTGCACATCCATCAGCTCCAAAATCAAGTGTTACACCTTCCCCAGGGGTGACATCACGCGCTTTCGCCCTGCACGGTGAGACATCCCTGACTGACCACCCTGGTCTCTGCCAGCCTCAGGGGCTGCTTCCATGTGTCACCATCCTCACTTCCAACTGCTCTTTTAACTTCTTTTCCCCTCCAACATTTGCTTTTGTTGTGCAAACTGATGATTTCCAGGCCGGATGGTCTGGGACTCCTCGACTATTACCTCATGGATGCAGCATCTCTCCTGCCTGTGCTGGCACTGGACGTGCAGCCAGATGAGTTTGTCCTCGACCTCTGTGCTGCTCCGGGTGGGAAGACTCTGGCTCTGCTGCAGACTGGGTTTTGTGGTGAGTGGGGATGGGTGTTCCCTTGTTCCTGTGTTAAACAGGGCTCGAGCAGTGCACTGCACCCATTGATGCCTGACCATTAATAATTCTGTGTGTAAGAGCTGGAATCAGGTGTGTTTCTGCAGAAGTGACATCCCAGTGTGTCTGTTCTGTCCTGTCAGGGCATCTGGCAGCAAATGATGTCTCCGTTTCCCGGACAAAGAGGTTGTACCAGATTCTGCAGAGCTATGTCCCCAAAGAAGTCAGGGACACTGTGAGTGTCACGTCCTACGATGGAAGGGACTGGGACCAGGTGAAAGGAGGCACTTTCCATAAGGTATGTATTGGGAACTAGTGAGGATAAACCCATCAAGGTCACTTCCCTCCTCTTTTTGAGGAAGACAGCAGGTTATCCTTGCATATAACTGTGTAGTTTTCGGTATCATAAAAGAAGAGAGAGAAGACCAAGCCACATAAGGAGTAATATTTCCTCCTGCTGTCCCTTCCTGCAGGATTTGGTGCATATGTGCATCTAGAGTTGTACTTTTACCCTTTAGAAATCCTGTTCTTGTCCATCACCTGGGAGGGGTTAAATGTGAAGATTAGATAATTCTGGCTTCTCAGCCATGTCCAGCCACAGGGGATGGGTTTGGTGTTCCAGGGGTGGGTCGGGTACTCTGGGAGGCTGCAGCAGCAATGCCTGTGCGTGCTGCAGGAGCATTGCCAGGGACACACACAGAGCAGGGACATTAAATGAAAACATGAGTTAGTGCAGGATGTTTTCCACCATTTTTGCACATTCCCAAAATGCCAAAACAGCCAGATGGGTACAGTTCAGTGTGGTGCACACCTGTGTTTGGGCACTGGCAGGGGTGGAGGAGGTGGGCATGGGGCTGAGCTTGACCTGTGCGGGGGGCTGAGGTGGGACCTCTGCTGCTGCAGGTGCTGGTGGATGTGCCCTGCACAACAGACAGACACTCTGCCATGGAGGAGGACAACAACATCTTCCACAGGAGGCGAACCAAAGAGCGCCAGATGCTGCCCATGCTGCAGCTGCAGCTGCTGATGTGAGTGAGCTCGGTTGTGTTGTGTTCCCTGAAACCTCTCCTTACTCTGTCCCCAGCTGGGAAGTGTGGAAACCATGTGTGGTTTTCTGGCAGTAGTTGGAACATGCGAAATCACAGTAAGTGTAAGAAAGTGCAGATGTTCTTGGTCAGATCACCAAGGCCTGACCCCCTTGTCCTTCTGTCCCCAGCAGTAGCTGTAGGATATAGGGAGAAGGTCTAAGGAGCAGGATGGGTACAGGTGTTTTGGGTGGTGATCTCCTGGGTCCTGGCAGTCAGCCCTAGAGGATTCCAGCTGTCCCAGGACATGGGAGGACATGTGGTGCTGGGAAATGCCACAACTTGTCACTGCTGTGGCAATAAGGACGCAGATTAGAGAGCCCCATGGCAGCACTTGAACTGCAGGAATCTCTTCCCCTGTACATATATCCCATTCCTTTGGATGTGACTGCAGAATTACACCTTCCATCTGCTCTGCAGAAACATCTCCCATGTTAAGTTCTTTATCAATATGAGTGCTGTTTGACTCTTTGCCCAAAACACTCCTCATGTTGCAGTGACTCAGACTGCCGAGCCTGTGTGGAGTTCAGTGGGTGCTGTCTGTCCCTTCCTGTGAGTCCCCATTTCGGTGGGTGGGGATGTCCCTCGGTGCCCTCCTGGTGACCGTGTGTGTGCTCCCCGTGCTGCAGGGCTGGGATCCTGGCGGCCAGGCCGGGAGGAGCTGTGCTGTACTCCACGTGCTCGCTGTCCCCGCTGCAGAACGAGTGCGTGGTGGAGAGGGCTCTGGACGTGGCACGAGCCCAGTTCAACATCAGCATCCACCCAGAGGACCTGAGCCACTTCAGGACGCTCTTCCAGGACACCTTTTCCTTCTTCTCGGAGTGCCGGCTCGGGGAGCTTGTCCTGCCTCACCTCACAGCCAACTTTGGGCCCATGTACTTCTGCAAATTACGTCGGGAGTAGAAGGGGCCGCAGAATCTGTCTGTCTGCTGTCAGGAAATAGCCCAGTATTTAAGGGACAGCAGAACTGCTTTATATTTATTTTTCTTTCTAAAATGTCCCAAAGGAAACCTGCTTTTTTACTGCAGACATGGGGAATAAATGAGAAAGACCTGCTGTGGTGTTTCCTGAATGCTTATCTGTTTGAGACTGAGGTGTTTAATCTAAGAAAGAGAAAGAGGTTTTATCAGAGGGAGCAATTTATCCATCTGTGTGGGATGGGATAAATGGCCGCCCTGCTCTCTTCCTCCTGTCTGACTGCTTTGATCCTGCATAAGCAGGTTTGGGTTAACAAACACCATCTGGGGATCTCAGCCTTTCTGTCCCAGATCTCACCATCTGCATAAATGAGTTGCATCTGTCTGTGCTTATCTCCTGCCTTCAGAGAGAGCAGCCTGAAGTCCTGAAACCAGAGGCTCCTAAGAGTGCCCCTCCTGTGGGGTTGGAAATGTGCTTGGGATGCTGGAGATGTGGTGCTGTGCAGAGGCCAGTGACTGTTGCTATCCCTCACAGCCAGCAAGGCTGTGGATAAGTGTGAATATTCCCATGCTAGATGCCATTTAATGTCTAGTGAGCAGGTGCTTGTATGATTTTGAGTAGTAACTTTGTTTGTAGAATTATCACCATCAGTGAAGGATTACTGGAATTTATCATGGGAGTTGTTTAATAGTTACAATTTTATTTTTGTGAGCAAATTACAGCGGTGGGAAGTGATGGACATGAATTCCTCAGGGGGGAGCCCATAGTTCCATCCATATGAAGTTACTCCACTGCCAGCAAGAAAATACTGTTGAACTTCTGTAATCCTTTCCTCTCAGCACCACCCTGCTTCTGCAGGAGGCAGCACTGGTGGAAATAGGGATGAACCCACATCCATGGCCATCCATCCTTGCTGGAAGTGCAATTCCTAGATTCACCACTGTTTGAGCCTATCCTCAGCCAGTCCTGCAGGGTTCCTTACAGGATCTGTGTTTATTGGCAAGGAGAGGGGGCAGGAGGTGGCGTTTCCTTCCTCCTCCTGTCCCCAGTGCAGTCCGTGCACTGCTGGTGGCAGTCGTGCCGCACTGTCCCTTCTCCCTGGTGGCCACGGTGACTATGCCACTCTCCTGCCAGCACCGCTGAGGGTCTCCACCTCCTTCATGAAGCGCAGGCACAGCTCCTCCTGCCACGGCAGGGCCACGCACTGCACGGCCACGGGCATGCCCATGGCTCCTGACACAGCCTGCAGAGGGGCATGAACAGTCAGGGGCTATCCAGGGACCCCTCACACCTCCAGCAGGTTTTGGGAGCTTGGTTTGGGCCTGTGGTTCATCCCACAGCCTGGAGAAGGTGGGGTTTGAGCCCTGTTAGAGTGCTGGGCAGAGGGAAGGGTCTTGCCTTTCTCTGATAGAAATGGTTGCCAAATCTTGGGTAATGTGTTTGAGACACTTTCCCCCCCACACACCCCAGCCAGCTCTGCCTTGGGCTGTCTTGTAGGCAGATCCCTTTTCCTTCAGCATCCTCATTCCTGACCCATGCGCCACTGACAGCCTGGGCCTGGTTAAAGGCAATGTGGAGCAGGAGAAAAGTGCAGTGCAGTGCTGTGGGCTGTGGCTGTTGCAAGGACCTGCTCCCAGAAGCTTTGCTGCATGACTCCTTGGTGCTTCAGCCTGTGGGAGACCCTTTCGTCCCCCCAAACTTAGTGATTACCTGTTGAGGGCTTGGGAGAACAGCAAGGGGGTGTGTTCAAGGTGGTTTTGGGGATTAGCAAGGGGTGTATAAAGATGCGAATTTTTTTGTGCCCATACTAATGGAGATATTTAGGAGCCCCTGATACCATGGAAACTGTAACCTGAACACACATCAGCACAGTCTGCTCCACCACCTCCCCTACCTGTTTCAGTGTCCGGTCCCAGGGGTCATCACAGCATCCTTTGTAAAGCTTTAGCTCTTCCTCATCCGCCTCTGTCACAGTACTGACAGGGACAACCCCGGCGGGGAAGTTCAAGACATTGTACAGCATCGTGGAGGAGATGGCACCTGGGAGAAGCAGGAGAGGATGCAGGCTGTCACAGCCTCCTGCCCTCAAACTTACACATTCCATATTCCCTGAAGCCCCTGAGAGCTGTGTCTGTCTCCACCTGCTCAGAGAGATCTGTGTAGTTACTTTTCCTTCCTAATTCCCATGAAATGCTTGGGTGAGCAGTGAAGCTCCATGGCAGTGGGTGCTTCCCTCCAGTCTCAGCCACTGTGTTTCTCTGCCCTCCTGGGAAGGGCCCAGACTCACTCACCGATTAGTTTCCTGGGGTATCCCATGGTGAAGGCAGGCCCCAGGACAGGGCACAGCACCACGTCCAGCTGGAGTTGCTGCCACTGGCTGATGAACTGGGAGCGGTACACCTGGGGAGGAGAGGGACGTGTCATGGAGCCATGGCCATGCCTGCAGCCTCTCAGCCTCTCCAGACACAGCTGAGGAGGCAGCAGCAGGCAGAGGTGCTCAAGGGATGGGGCAGAGCAGCCTGTGTTTGCCTCCACTGTGTGTGGCCAGGAATTTGGAAGGTCCCACTCCGGCCATGCCCCCTCCCAGGACAGCCTTCACTGCACGCAACCACTGAAGCTCTGTCTGGGCTGACTCAAAAGCCCATCCACCCCATTCCTATCATTCTTTGTGCCTTTCCCTCCATCCTGTCTCCTCCCCAGAAGCCTCTCCCTTGCACAATCCCTTTCCAAACCAATGGCTCTGTCTGACCCAGTGCTTGCCACAAAGCCTCTACTTGCATCATGATGCCAAAGAGGAAAGTCCTCAAAACAAACCTGTATTTGATGCTGGTGATCCCACATCTCCTGCACAGACCTGCAAGTGGAAATCATAGCAACATGTAAGCTGTAAGCTTTAAGCTGTAAGAAGGGGAGGAATTGCTTAAATAGTCCTCTGGGTTGATAAGCCCTGGTGATTTTAGCAATTGCTTGAAACAATACAGCTTTCACAATCTTCCTAAAGTTTCCTTTGGCATCTGGCCGAACAATTAAGCAGCAAATGTCTGGAAGTGCTGGAGAGAAGGCTTTCCTGATGGGCTTGGATTTAATACTCATCTCTTCCACAGGCTTCCTGTAATGACCTTATCCATTCAAGTGCCCCATTCCTGTCAGGATTTTGCTAGGGGCAGTAAAGCCATGGCCAAGAATGAGGGACAGCCCCTGCAGGGAGAGATCACAGCCTGTGTTGTGAATCCAGTCCCCCCAGCCAAGGACACCTGGAGGAGAAGGTATCACCCATTTCCATGGACATCACTGGGGACAATTCCATCTTACCTCACTCCAGCCATGGAGCTCAGGTGGTCAGCCAGGCGGGGGAACTGGAAAGGCACGAGGTTCCTTAGGGACATGACATTGGGCTGCAGTAACCAGTGTTACCCCAGGAAGCCCCTGTTCCTGTCCTGAGGGACAGGCACTCACCAGAGGTTTAAGAAGCAGAGCCAGCAGCTTCTTCACCAGCCTTGGCATCTTGCAGGAATTCACCTGTGCTTTCAAGCCTGGATCCACAATATTTCCTGTGCTGAGAGATGACAGGAGGATGGGGTGATTTCAGAGAAGCTGTTTGCCCTTCCTCAGAGACCTGAGTGTTGCCTGTTTGGGGTGGGAGAGCTGGGCTCCTTGTGCCTGTGCCATGCTCATGGCATGGGGATGGAGGTGTTGGCAGCACTGCTGCCACAGGGCTCCTACTTACAACACATCCAAGAAGGCACGGCCTCCATCAGCAAAAAACGTCTTCATAAACAGCTCATTCATGACATAGGGGATCCGAGGGGGAGAGAAGGGCACCAGCTGCACCAAAACACAGGATTATGTGGCAGCCTGGGGATGTGCATAGCGTCCAAGACCCAAATGTGGATAATCCTCAGAGGCAGAGCAGCACCTCCTGGGCTCCATGTGCCAAGAGAAGCCCTGGTTCAACCATTTTCCATCCAATAATCTCCCCATGAGATTATTCCTGCTGATTGCCCGTGGGATGCACTTCTCCCTTAGGCAGAGGGGTCTCTGTGGCTGGAGTAACATAATCCCACACCTCTGCCAGGTCATGTTCCCCACAGGAGTGCTTGGGAGCTGTGCTGGTTTCTGAAGGGTGATTTCCTCAGCGAGGAGCGAGGCTGGGGACGCCCTGGGGATCAGGGCAGGGGGTGGTGGTGCTCACCTGGTGCCCAGCTGCCTGCAGAGCACTCCTGGTTTCCTTCACTGCCCTCCTCATGCAGGGGGGCAGAGGGAAGTAGCCGTCAGTGTCGTAGTACCCGACCCGCAGGGGAGCGGAGCTGGAGTACACCTGGAGCAAGGAGACACCAGCTATCATTCCTATTCTGTGGAAACCCAGGGCACCAGGAATATTTCTCTGTCTGCTCTGAGGTGCCCAGACCCCCAGGAGAGCACTGACTGACCCTCATCCATGGAGAAAGTTTCCTAGATGTCAAGATAGACTGGAATCCACAAAAGTGTGAAATAGATTATAGAGAGCAGTGTAGGTGTATCACTTGGTGAGAAATTTAGGGTTTGGGATTTTTAGTATGTTGTGGATGGAAGCAAGATGGGGGGCACAGGGTGTCATCCTGGGTTTCTTCGTGCTTCTTCTTCCTCCTTCTCCATGGGTTTGGGTGGCATTTTGTAATTGGGCAGAAAAGTCCCCATTGCAGGCTCTTTGGGATCAGTTATTGGGTTGAAAGGGAAAATAATCCAGGTGTCAGTTCTTAATTGGGTAGTTTAGTCTTAAAAGACCTTGTAACAAGAGATTGTTATCCATTTTGTGCCTTCTAATGAAAAGCTACTGAATTCACAGTAGTGAGACTGTTTTACTGATAAGAAATGATAAACACCTGAGTCTGAACATGAACTACTCTCTCAAGTGCCTTCAATGCAGACCCAGAGAAACCCACAACAACAACTGAGACCCTCACACTATTCCTAATGGGATTGTTGTGAAAATCCTTTAGACATCCACCATTGACCACATCTGGGACTAAGACTGGATGCAGTGGGAGGGTCTCCCCTACTCCTTGTATTTCCCTATTAAATTCTTAGATCTGAACTGTTGCCATTCTGGGACTAGGATTGGACTCAGCTGTGCCTAGGCTCTGTCAGGAGTTTAGAAAGCAAGGGGGGTCCTCTCTGAACCCTGTGACTCAATGGGAGAGTCTTCCCTGCCCTTTGCACCCTTGTCCTTTGCACCCCCAATCTCCAGGCAAATCATTCCAAAGTGACACTAAGCTGATTTTCCTTTGTGTGCTCCATCTTCAGAATAAGTAACAGAGTGAACCCTGTCATTGAACTTTGTCACCCTTGTGCAAATTTGTATTAAAACCTGCTTTTTGCAGTGCCTTTGACAGTGATTCTTTAGGCGACCTAAATCTCTCATTTTTGACACCCACCCTGCTGGGGGAAGGCCTGCCTCCCACACTGACACTGACTGCAGAAGAGCTCCAAATGCTAAGGAGTGAGTAATATTCTGGTTTGCTGTTTATAGTTACCCTTTCCAATGTCTACCCCTGCCTTTTTCTCCAGGCCCTCCTTAGGAGGAGAACAGCCACTCCAGACAAGGGGATTCAACCACTGATAAAAAGTGTGGAGGTATAAAAACCTCCTGAAGCTGGTCTGCTGCAGAGAGAAAGGGAACACTCTCAGTTAAGAGATTTGCTGCAGCAGTTTCTCATCCTGTCCATTATTTCCTAAAGATCTCCAGCTATTTGCTCCCAGTGTTGCCTTCTTCCCTGCTCTTTCCTGGATCCTCACAATTCAATAAACAGCATTCCAGCTGAGAAGACAGACAGGATAACTACTGATTTGCCTGTTTTTTCAAATGAGAATTATGAATTGTGCCCTCAAAGAGAGCTATTTTACCAAAAAAACAGTCCTGTAATGATAACTGGACCCTTGAAGGAACCAGGGCTTGCTGGGTGAGGCCTCACCTCCTCGTTGAAGGGGATGGGGGGCACGCTGGGGTCCAGCTGGAACATCTCCTGGCAGAGAAGAGCCTTCATGCACAGGGCCAGGCTGTCCACATCCCGTGCCATGGGCCCCAGGGCACAAGGGACTGCATGGGACAAGAGCAAACACCCACAGTGAGCAGACGGATGTGCCAACCCCAGCCCACCCCTCTGCACAGCCACGTCAGGGTGGGCAGGCAATGAGGGAAGTTTCAGATGGACTCCAGACAGGACTTTACTGTCTCAGGTTTCCTCCTGGCCTGCAGGAGAACATCAGGCTCTTCACAGGATATAGGGAAAAGGAATTTAAAATTCATGTACCTGCTAGGATGCCATTGACAGGGCCAGTCACTCCAGACAGGCTGTGAGAAAAGAAGTGCATTGACATTTCAGTAATGGGGAAATATTCACAGTATGTTTGAAAAGTATGTGAGGTCTCCAGCTCAGGATCAGAAACAGAAGGAAATTATTTCAAAAATTTGATATGAGTAGTGTTACTGTGATATTTTATGAAAAATCTGTTCATTAAGAATTCTTCTCCTGGGAAGCTGAGAAGCTTCAGCTTCTCCCTCTTTAGCTGTTTTAGAATGTGATTTGGACAATTGTTTACCAAACATATAAATTCTTTTTAATTAACAGCCAATCACAGCCAGCTGTGTTGGACTCTGAGTCTGTCACAAGTTTTTATTATTCATTCCTTTTTAGCTTTCTGCTATGTATTTTCTCTTTCTTTAGTATAGTTTTAGTATGATAATATAATATAATATAATATAATATAATATAATATAATATAATATAATATAATATAATATAATATAATATAATAT